TGGTGGGGAAGGAGCAGTGGTGGAGATAAGTAGAGTAGAGAATGGGGAGCCTGAGAAAATGCATTCTAAAAATACATCTATTACCTTTGACAATCTGCATGGCACATGCATGATAAACTTGCTCCTGAGTCGTGTTGGGGGGAAATACACGGTCAAAGACATATGGCTTCCCCTGGAATGAAAACAAAGGATGTCAGACATCAGCAGTCAGAGTGTGAGGGAAAAGAAATACCTCTGCCCGCTTCCATTAGCCTGAGAAAGGTACCCTTGTTCTTCAATTCCCCAAATACACAGAAAATTGGAGGGACAAGAGAAACTAGAGAGAGAGAAGCAAAGTTTAGTACTGACATGAGGAGTTGTGTCCGTGTGGCAGCAGACTGTCACACGGGGAGACTGTGTGAGAGAATCTTAGTCTTGGTGGGATGGATTAACACCCCACCACTCCCAAAACCCTCCCTGGGAAGTCAAACAAGAGATGACAATAGGGCCACAGCTGTGGAAAGTGAAAAACAATTCATTCTAGCACTCTGGGAGGCTGAGGCGGTTGGATCGCTTGAGGTCAGGAGTTCAAAACCAACCTGAGCAAGAGCAAGACCCCATCTCTACTAAAAAGAGAAAGAAATTAATTGGCCAACTAAAAATATATAGAAAAATGATCCGAGCATGGTGGTGCATGCCTGTAGTCCCAGCTACTTGGGAGGCTGAGGCAGAAGGGATTGCTTGAGCTCGGGAGTTTGAGGTTGCTGTGAGCTAGGCTGATGGCACAGCACTGTATCCCAGGCAACAGAGTAAGACTCTGTCTCAAAAAAAAAAAAAAAAAAAAAGAAAAGAAAAGAAAAGAAAAAAGAAAAGGAAAACAATTCATTAACATTAAAAAGTACCTCTCTGAAGGATATACTTCAGGGTAAAAAAAAATAGTAATACCTCAAAGTTTAAAAAAAAATCTTCCTTATTAGGTCCAAATGCCCTGATATGAAATGATCTTCAACCTGTACTACATGAAAGATGCAAAGTTAGCAACATACTATAGCAGGTTCCCTATTGTGTAAATGCAATACTATATATACACTGAATGCTACTGTGGAAACTCCAACACAAGCTTTCTCTTTGTGAAAGGAACATGTGAAATCAGAAATATGGATCTCCCTTCAAGAAGAGAAGCAGCTTACATTAAAGGAAACTGTGAAGCAAATCATTCAGATCTACAACGGCTTGTTTAAGTCAGTTAATATGCCTTAAATCATGTTTGCAGTTGAGAATGCTAAAAACAAAATACTTACAACTCAAGAGCTTAAGAAACAATATATTTGATAGCTACTGACATTAAAGATAAATCTCTGATAAGATTAAATGAGTCCATGTTTGTTTTCTATTATAAGTGACAAATTTCTCAGTTGTGTTTTCCTGCCATTCAGTATGAAGAGACCAGGACTTGTCAAGTTGTTTTACTATAGAGTCCTTTTTTTTTTTTTTTTTTTTAAGACAGAGTCTCACTCTGTCACTCAGGCTAGAGGTCAGTGCAACATTGTAGCTCACAGCAACCTCAAACTCCTGGGCTCAAGCAAAATCCTGCCTCAGCCTCTGGAATACCTGGGACCTACACTTGGCTAATTTTTTATTTTTTATAGAGATGAGGTCTTGCCCTGTTGCTCAGGCTGATCTCGAACTCAGCCTCATGCAATCTCCTGTCTCGGCCTCTTAAAATGCTGATATTACAGCATGACCACCGCATCCGGCCCAATAAATACTATTTTAAAGATATACATTTTTTTTAGGAGAAGGAAAGAGAAGTTTATTACTTTGTTGGTAAAGGAGGAATGTTGACTATCTATTTTAAAGATATTTTTAAAAAATTAAAATCTGGATTATGGAAAAATTCTACCTGAAATATTTATTTGGTCTCTCTGTAGTAAAAGACTCTGAAGCCCAACAAACAGACTCTGCAAAGGAAAAGAACTGGAAAAGTGCTCTCTGTAATGAAGGGAGTACTGTATATTCACAGAATCTTTCTGGAAGACAACGCTATTAAATATTTGAATGTCCATAACGTTCATATTCTGTACCAGAATTCCAGGGCTAGGATTCATTTTCTAAGACATTTGTTAAGTGCGTAAAGATGTACGTAGAAGAATGTTCACTGCAGCAGTTTGCATGAAAGAAAAACTAGAAATAATCCAAACGTCTTCTATCCAACCAACCTAGAAAAGGTTCGTTATGCCTCTATTAAAATGGGCGAGTTGGTTTATACATATATATGCTTTTTTTTGAACAGGTCTTGCTCTGTCACCCAACTAGAGTGCACTGGGTCATCATAGCTCACTGCAACCTCCACTCATAAGCTCAAGCAATCTTCCTGCTCAGCTTCCAAGTAGCTGGACTACAGGTGCATGCCAACATGCCTGGCTAATTTTTCTATTTTAGTAGAGACAGAGTGTCGCTCCTGCTCAGGCTGATCTCAAACTCCTGAGCTCAAGCAATCCCCCCACCTCAGCTACCCAGAGTGCTAGAGTTACAGGTGTGAGCTACCACACCTGGCCTGGTTGTATATATATCGCACATGTTCAACATTGATTTTTTTTTTTGAGACAGAGTCTCACTTTGTTGCCAGGCTAGAGTGAGTGCTGTGGCATAAGCCTAGCTCACAGCAACCTCAATCTCCTAGGCTTAAGTGATCCTACTGCCTCAGCCTCCCGAGTAGCTGGGACTACAGGCATGCGCCACCATGCCTGGCTAATTTCTTGTATATATATTTTAGTTGGTCAATTAGTTCTTCTATTTTTAGTAGAGACAGGTATTTTTTATTTGGCCAATTGATTTCTTTCTATTTTTAGTAGAAATGGGGTCTCACTGTTGCTCAGGCTGGTTTTAAACTCCTGACCTTGAGTGATCCTCCCGCCTCGGCCTCCCAGAGTGCTGGGATTACAGGCGTGCGCCACCTCACCCAGCAATAAATCTGTTTTTTTAATTTCAAAATATTATGAGGGTACAAATGTTTTGGTTACATGGATCACTTTTGTAATGCTTGAGTCAGGGCTATAAATGTAGCCATCACCCAGATAGTGTTCATTGTACCAGTAAGGTAGGTTTTCACTCATCCCTTCATCCTCTCTCCCCCTGAGATAACTTTTTATGTGCTTATATGAAATGATCTCTAAGACTTAGTATTAACAACAACAACAGCAACAAAGCAAGGTGTAGAACAGTATGTATAGTATGTTACCGTATGTTTAAAAAAAGTATGCATGTATATGTGCACTTGCTTATACATGTATAGTATGTTTTGGGAAGGATTCACAAGAAACTGGTAATAATGGCTGCCTTCTGAAAGGGAAACAGGGTGGCTGGGGAAATGGGGTAAGAAAGAGACTTCCTTTTCATTGTATACCTTTTTATATTGTTTGAATTTTTTCACATGTGCATGTAAGACTTATTCAAAACTTAAATTAAAAATTATCCTGAGCTCAGCAAAATCCCCCCACCACTCGCTACCAGCAGCTAGAGTTACAGGGTGGCAGACCACACCTGGCCGGGGGTAATATAGATCGACAGGTTCACATGAAGGTATTTATTTTTGGAGACAGAGTCTCACGTTGTTTGCCCCAGGCCTTAGAGAGTGCTGTTGCATAAGGCATAGCTCACAGAACCTCAATTCTAGGCTTACAGTCCAGCCTCAGACCCTCCGAGTAGCTGGACTTACAGGCATGCGACCCACCATGCTGGCTAATTTCTTGATATATTATTTTTAGTGGGTCATTGTTTCTGTTCT